TCTGCCCAAGGAGAGGAGCTGAAGTTTAACTTCCCAGGGAGGGGGCAGCGTCCCTTTCCTCCTTTGCTGCATGTTCCTTTCACCTTCCTTTCACCCCGTTTTCCTTCCTTTCCCTCCATCCCACCCGTTTCTTCCCGTACGCCCAGTGGGATGATGCGCAGCCCCAGCCCCCGCGAGCTAACAGCCCAATTAATAACCTCCCTTACCTAAACCATCTGCTTCCATCCCCCCCTTGGCCAGAGCCACTCATCTCCCCTCCACCATCACCTTTCTTTTTTTTTTTAAGCACGCAGCAGTTCTGGGGCTGATTTGCCCCCAAAATGACCAACTGGGGATACAGAGGTGCTGGGTGCCCTCTGCTCCGGAGGAAGGGGAGGAGAGCCCAGCACCTCTGAGCATCACCTTGCCCTGGGGCCGAGCTCCCCATCCAACACTGCCCCTGTGCAGGGGGGGTTACGTGCCGGACTATTTCAGCTCTTGGCACGCAGAGTCCTGTCCTGCCGACCCGCTCCATCTCTACCAGGCAGGCATCGCCCGGAGAGCACCTCAGGGACACCTCTCCCCACCTCGCCCCCCACTACTGTCTCACAGTAATGAATGCAACTACCTAAAACACACAGACGGACAGACAAACAACACAAAAAGAAGGTACTTTTGGTTCAAACGCGTAATACTGTCTTTAAAAAGTGGCTCTCGGGGGTGAAAGACCCCCTTCGGCAGGCAGACCCGCCTGGATCCAGCTTGGGGGTCGTGTCTGGATATGGAAACGCTCACCGCCCGATCCTCTAACTCACCGCCAGCCTACCCCGACCGGCAGCCTCAGCCTGCTCAGAGCATCCCGGGGAGCGCTCAGTGCAGCAGGATTGACCCCTCTGAACGCAAAGCGGTTGCAAAAGGTTTGGAGGAGCCCGGGGCTCCCCCCCCGGGGCCTGATCCTGCCGCCATCTCGGGCGAGCACACGAGACCTCTCGTTTACCCCGGCGAGACCGGTCGTATGCTTCATGTTAATCACACCCTGCCAGGGTTCGCAGGATCAGGCTTACAAAGAGCAGTAAAGAACCCATTTGCAAGGACAATTTCCTTTCTGCCTGTGCCCAGGCTGGTTTATACATACAGCAATAAAGATAGAGCTGGTCAAAACAGGAAGGAAAAAAACATTTCCCTTTGGTTTTTCAACTTTTTCCTGATTTTTTTGCCCCCCAATCAACGCAGATAAAAACATGGGAATTTCTCCCCTTTCCCCTCCAAAAAAAACAAAACAAAACAAAACAAATTTTCTGAAAGCACCAAAGTGTTCCTTGAGCAAAAAAAGTGATTTGGAAAACGCAAAACGACGTTTTCCCCGCAAATCTTGACAGGTTTCGTGCACAAAACGCAGTACAAAAAGGCCCCTTTTTTAACCACAATAAAAAAAAAAAAGTGGAAATTTCAACCAGCTTTATCAGCAAACGGCAGAGCAAAGCGCGTGGGACTGGAAGCAAGGGCGGCACACCCAGCCAGCATCACTAGGAGCCAGTTTGGAGTTAAATTTTCCTTCACATATGATTTGGAGATGCCGACACACTTCTCCAGTGGGGTCTACATAAACTAATTTGGTTTTTTTGGGTTTTTTTCCTTTTGTTTGTTTTTTTTTTTTTTTTCTTTTTGGTCTCTTTTTCCTCACTGTGATAAAACTCTCTGCTGGCATAACAGAAACAAACACACACAATATTGCAATACTGAGACCATCTTAGAGCTTAAGACTATTTAAAAAAAAATACTGGCACAAAATTTAATAAAATAAAACTTTAACAAATTTAAAAAAAAAAAAAAAAAAAAAAAAGTCTTGATCCCTCCTAGCAAAAATTCTGCCTTTTGTAGAAAAGAAGACAACCAACAGAAAGGCAACGTAACAAGAATGACAAACAGTTCTCGGTTTTTTCCTGTATTGCCCCTCCCCGAAGCAGGAATATTCACCCACTTTGGTCTTC